AAGCACGAGCTGCGGTACCACAAGTCGTCGGGCGGAGAGTCGGGAGGCGCAGCCGTGGTGGAGGAGGTGCGCGTCGTCGGCGGCGACGGAGACTGGCAGGAGGGCGGCCGCGACGCGCCCGTCGCCTTCATCCGGCTCCGCTACAACCGCAACCCCATCCCGGGCGACAAGTTTTCGTCGCGCCACGGCCAAAAGGGCGTGCTGCTCTTGCGGCTGTGGCCCGCGGAGGACGTGTCCAGGACGTGTCCGGGACGGGTCCGAGACGTGTCCCCTAGGCGTGCTCTCGCGGCTGTGGCCCGCGGAGGACATGCCCTTCACCGAGTCGGGCATCACGCCCGACATCTTGTTCAACCCGCACGGCTTCCCGTCGCGCATGACCATCGGCACGCTCTCCTCTCTCGAGCTGCGGGGCGCGAGGGCGCGTCCGCGACACGTCCGCAACGTGTCCTGCAGGTATGCTCCTCGAGATGATGGCAGCCAAGGCGGGCGCCGCGCACGGCGTCACGCAGGACGCGACGCCCTTCCAGTTCTCGGACAAGCACCGCGCGGTGGACTACTTTGGGGAGCAGCTGCGCGCGGCCGGCTTTTCGTACCACGGCACCGAGCCGATGTACTCTGGCCTCTACGGCACCGAGATGGAGGTGCAGATCTTTGTCGGCGTCGTCTACTACCAGCGGCTGCGGCACATGGTGTCGGACAAGCACCAGGTGCGCTCGCGCGGGCCGGTCAACACGCTCACCAAGCAGCCGGTGCACGGCCGCAAGGTGCACGGCGGCATCCGGCTGGGCGAGATGGAGCGCGGCGCGGAGGAGTCATCCGAGATGACCCGAGATGAGCCGAGACGGCCCGAGATTAGGCGAGATGGAGCGCGACGCGCTGCTCGCCCACGGCGTCGCCTACCTCGTGCACGACCGCCTCTTCCACTGCTCGGACGAGGCGCGCGCGCTCGTCTGCACGCGCTGCGGCTCGCTGCTCGCGCCGATGATGCGGCCGCCCGAGGGGGCGCTGTCCGGCCCGGCGTCGCGCGAGACGCTCTGCCGCGCGTGCGGCGACGGCGGCGCGGTGGACGCCATCGCGCTGCCCTACGTCTTCCTCTACCTGACCAACGAGCTCGCCGCGATGAACGTGAAGGTCAAGCTCGATACGCGATCGACCGCCGCGCTCAAGTGAGGGAAGTTTGTTGTGTGATCGAGCGAGGAGAGGCAGAGAGCATGTGTGCGTGGGGTTTGTCAGTGTCGCCCGTCGTCAGTGTTGTGGGCGCGTGGTAAGAGACGATTCCGTACGTACGGCCCTCTCCCAGGTTCAGTGGATTGGTCTGATTCAACGAACCACAACCAGGAACGCGATCGCGAAACCGAAAGTTTGGTGCGGTGTGTGGCCCAGTGCCAGTGCCGCCCACTGCCAGTGGTGGGCAGAGGCCAGTGCCAGTGAAAAACGCTAACGACACATAGAGATCACAGATCACTAACTTGCTCGGCGTCAGCCGGACGCCCCTGCGGAATGCATCGTCGTCGTCGTCGTGGCGTCGTGTTTGTCCGCCCTCCCTCCCCGCAACAAATTCCACCTCGCCTTCTCCGTCGCCCTCCTGGCCCAGTCCTTTGTGACACAAACACAGGTTCGAACACACACAGGTAGGGTGCCCACAGGGCCCAAAAAAAGAAAGTAAAAAAGAAATGGGGCAAGCCCCACCGCAGCACTTCGTGTTGGAGAGTCGAGATATTGAGAGTGTGACTAGGAGGGAGGGGCGCTGGGGATTCTCAAAGGTATACCCTTGGAATGGCCGGATCCAGCCTTGAAAGTACGAGATCGCGCGCGCTTCGCGCGCTGCACCGCCTGTTCTCCGCGGCTGAGTGACGACGGTGCCGTGTGCCAGCAGAGTTGGGGCGGCCGGCGAGGGAACGGTATTTCGACACAGGAGCATTCCTTCTTTTTCTGCGAACCCCGTGGCGGCTCGCGTGGTGTACCTGTGTTAGTGCCAGTGCGCGCCAGTGCCGTGCGCAGCGTCGTGCGAGGCAGCTAAAAATTCTTTTTCTCGCGATGTCCACCCCGCCGCGCCGCCGCTCGCGCCGCCTCGCCGCCGCCTCCACCTCCGCGCCCTCGCCAGACACGCCGCCGCCCACCCGTCTCCTCGACCTCCCCACCGACCTCCTCGTGCGCGTCGTCTCTCGCTGCGAAAGCCCCGCCGACATCGCTCGCGTCGCGGCCGTCTCGCTGCTCTTCCACGCCTCGCTTGCGCTGGAGGCCATCCGCTTGTGGGCGCAAGAGCGCGGCTTCGAGCTGCCGGCGCAGCCAGAGGGCGAGAGCTGCGCCGTGCGGTGGCTGTGCTATTCGGCGCTGCTGCGCGAGGCCAACCCGCCGGCGAGGGTGGCGGCAGGCGAACGGCACAGCCTCTTCATCGACGGCGAGGGGCGGCTCTCGTCGTGCGGCTCGGAGGGTTGGTCGCCAGGACTGCTCGGTCACGGCGAGGGCATGACGCAGCTGAACACGCCCACCCGCCTCCCTTCGACGCTGGGTGACGAGCGTGCCGTGAGCGTGTCGGTTGGAAGAGCGCACAGCCTCGCCCTCACCGGCAGCGGCTCTGTCTGGAGCTGGGGCTATGGAGGCTTTGGCCAGTTGGGCCACGGCGACGCGCAGGACTGGCTGCTGCCAAAGAAGGTCGAGGCCTTGGCTGGCCAGCGCGTCGTCGCTGTGTCGGCTGGAGAGCACCACAGCCTCGCCATCACCGCCGCCGGCGCCCTTTGGAGTTGGGGCTATGGTCGCAGCGGCCGGTTGGGCCACGGCGACCAGCAGACCCAGCTGCTGCCCAAGGAGATCGTGGCGTTCGCAGAGCGGCACGTCGTCGCCGTGTCGGCCGGAGAGAACCACAGTCTCGCCGTCACCGCCGACGGCAGCGTCTGGAGCTGGGGCTATGGAGCCTCTGGCCAGCTGGGCCACGGCGACGAGCAGGACCAGCTGCTGCCCAAGAAGATCGAGGCCTTGGCTGGGCAGCGCGTCGTCGCTGTGTCGGCTGGAAAGGCCCACAGCCTCGCCCTAACCGCCGACGGCGCCGTCTGGAGCTGGGGCGGTGGCTACTATGGCCAGCTGGGCCACGGCGACACGCAGAGGCAGCTGCCCAAGAAGATCGAGGCCTTTGATGGCCAGCGCGTTGTCGCTCTGTCGGCTGGAGGCAACCACAGCCTCGCCCTCACCGCCGACGGTGGCGTCTGGAGCTGGGGCGGTGGCTACTATGGCCAGCTGGGCCACGGCGACGCGCAGCGCCAGCTGCAGCCGAAGAAGGTCGAGGCCTTGGCGGGGCAGCACGTCATCGCTGTGTCGGCTGGATATAGCCACAGCCTCGCCATCACCGCCAACGGTGCTGCCTGGAGCTGCGGCTATGGAGCTGGGGGCCGCCTAGGCCACGGGGAGGACCAGTCGAACCAACTGCTGCCAAAGAAGGTCGAGGCGTTGGCGCCGGGGCAGTGAGGCATCGCCATCGGGCTCGGACTTTTACTCTACTGCCGCCTTGCCCCAAGGGAGGATATTTTTCTTGCCGAATCTGCGTTTTCTTCTTGTCCATGAGGGGCCGTCGCCTGCCGTGCCTATTGTGGTGCCAGTCCGAGCCAGTCTGCTGTGAGAGGGGCTTGTACAGTGGAAAGGAAATTCTTCTAGTCCGCGCCAGTCCGCGATTACCGCGCAAAATGAAAGAAAGTAGAAAGAAAGAAAGAAAACACGCAATTGAATGAGGAATTTATAGGAAAATCTCTCGCAGGACGAGGCAGAGGAGAGCGACGCGACAAGAGGATGAAGCGAAAGGAGAGAAACGAGGAGCGTGTGACCGACCCGCTGAAAGAAAAGAAAGAAAACACACAACCCAAGGACCGACCCGCTTAAATGAGAATCTCCCGCCGTAAAATTCTTTGAGCTTAGCCTTCGATGTTATGAAACAACGCAAGGCGGACAGGGCATATCGCTTTGGGGTCAAAATTCTTTTGGAACAACAAGGAGAGCACCAGGCCCCGTCTGCGCAAAACCAAGCCGCGGCATGCCGCAGCCTCCAGAGTACGGGGCACGCCCGGGGCCGAGCGTGGAGCAGGTGCAGATGCAGGTGCAGGGCGTGCGCGGCATTATGCAAGAGAACGTCGATGTCATGCTTGCCAATATCGACAAGACCGAGGTGCTCGAGGACAAGTCTTCGGCCCTCGCGTCGCAGGCCAAATCGTTCCAAAAGACGTCGCGCGCGGTGAAGAAGAAGATGTGGTGCGCCAACATGAAGATGAACCTGCTCATCGGCTGTGTCTGCATCATCATCGTCCTTGCAATCGTCATTCCCGTTGTCACATCGGCCGGCAGCGCGGCGGGTGCGGCGAGCACAGTCACCGGCAGCAGCGAGAGCAGCAGCGCGTCGCCACCGCCGCCGCCGGCCGAGGCAGGGGCAGGGCGGCGGCTATCCTCCCTGCTCTTCTCGGGCCCGCTGCTGCACCACAGCTTGACAGAGACGGGCGACATCTCTTGAGCGCGCGCGCGGAGCATCTGTTGTGCGCAGCTCGCGTGCGCGCCGCCGCCGCTTGGTCTCGGAGAGAGAGGCCGCCACTACTAGAGCGGCGGTCCCGAGGATGGAGCGCGCGGATTCTCCCGCTGCTCGAGACGCGCGTTTGTGCCATGGTAGCTGTGTGGACGCATCTTCCTTGTTGTTCGGTGTTTTGTGGTGTGGCGGGCGGGTGAGGTCGGCTAGTCATAGACGGCCCCGGCAGTTTACTACGTACATTTCTCATTTGTTTAAAACGCCAGGCCAGGCTCTCCCACAAAACGCCAAGGCCAGGCCTCCCACACCCCGAGGCCGACGCGCGCGCCCGCGGGGCGGGGGGGTGGGGGGGGGGGGGGCGCGGCGCGCGGCGGGGACGCGCACACCACACGACCATGTGAGGCATGAGCTCGAGTCCATGTCGAGTCTCACTCTCAGAGATCTCTCGGTTCTCGCCTAGGGCCAAGGCGCTCCAGGCACCAGGGTGCGACACTGCCTCTCAGACGGTAGAGGGTGGTGCTCCGCTGTCACCGGCGGCGACAGGCGCGTCCACCTCCCTGTCCACGGACGCGCCCACCGTCGCGTCGGTGGCGTCGCCCGCAGAGGCGAGCTCGTCGGCAAAGAGGCAGAGCAGCGCGGGCGTGAGGCGGGGCAAGGCGGGGAGAAGCCTGCGGCCGTGGGGGAGTGGGCGGGATCGGAGGGAAGCAAGGAATGGGACAAATACTACTCGCACGTGGGGGGGTCACCGGAAGGGGACGCTCATCAGGTCGAAGGCGAGGATGGCTCCGGCGGCGGGCAAGCCTAAGGTCAGGTCAGGTGCGGGGAAGCTCCTCCACACTGGTTAGGAAAGGGCCAGGCAAGGCCCGCGACTCCGCGACCGAAGGAGTCCGATAATGAAAGTGCAAGGCCCCAGTGCGCGTGGTGTGGTGTGTGTGGGGGGGGGGGGGGTCGGGGGGGGTCGGGGGGTTTGAGGGGGGGGGGTGGCAGACCTCCGCCCACGTCGGTCAGCTTTGGGTAGCGCTGCGAAAAGTGCGTGAGCAGCACGCGCCACGCGCCCATCCGCGCGCCGACGTCGAGCGCCTCGCCGACAGTCGAGTGGCGACGCGCCTCCGCTTCGGCCGCCATGCCCTCGGTGTCGTCGAAGGTCGCCTAGAGGGCGCGTCCACGACCTCTCCCGGACATGTCCTAGAGCGTGTCGCCGTGCCCTCGGCGTCGTCGCGAGAGGCCTCGTGGACGAGGATCCGGCAGTGTCTAGGAAGTGTCTAGGAAGTGTCTAGGAAGTGTCTAGGAAGTGTCTAGGAAGTGTCTAGGAAGAGGCCTCGTGGACGAGGATCCGGCAGCCCGGCAGCAGCGTCTTGCCGAGCTGCACGAGCCTGCAGGGAAAGGATGTCGGACCGCGTGAGCGCCAAGGGCGACACATGCAGGGAAAGCGGAGGAATGCAGTGGGGACACGTCTCTGAATACGCGGGGTCTGCAGTCGGCGTCTAGCTGCACGCGCCGCTCGCACGGCCGCGTGTCGCCAGAGTAGACGAGACCCCACCCCTCCGAGTGCTGCAGCGCGACGCCCCACGAGTCCGCGCAGTGATCCACGCGCGTCGACGCGAGCCAGCTGCACCCCAGCCGCCGGATCGCCGCACAGACCTACTCTTGGGCGATCTCGAGTCATCTCGGGTCATCTCCGGAGAGCCCATGCCGCCGGGTCGCCGCGCAGACCGCCGCGTCGGCGCCGGCCGCGCCGCAGTGCACAAAGCGGAACTCAACCGGGGAGTGAAGCCGCGCGGCGGCCTGCGGCGCGCAGACAGCGGCCGTCACGACACTGTCGCGTGTGAGGCCTGCCGCCGTGCCTCAGTCGTGAGCTCTCGTGTGGGTGGAGCGGCGTCTTCCCGCGGCATCGTGGCCGCAGCAGCGAGTGTGGCGATGGGGACTACCCCGCATCGATGGGGGGGGGAGCGGGGGGGAGCGGTGGCCTCGCGAAGCCAAACGCCGAGCGCGTGCGGGCCGACCACCAGCAAAGGCGCCGCGCCGGGGCGTGCGGACCTAGCCCGAGGGGTGCGAGGAGCTTCCGAGGAGCGTTCGAGGAGCTCCCGAGGCCTCTGGCGCAGCGCACACCGCAGCTCGAGCAGCCGCACCAGGCCTAGTGTACGAACGCAAGGGCAAATGAGGGTGCGACGACGGCGACGTGCAGGCGGCGTGCAGGGTGCTCGTAGCATCGCGCGAATCACACAAGGGCTACGGGCACACGGCAAGGGGGAGGAGTGCAGGGAGAGTCAGCTCCGCATCTGGGGCGCAGGCCGAGGTGGTGGTCGGCGTGCAAGTGCGAGATCCAGACCAGCGCGAGAGCGCGGACCACCTTAGGAAAGGGAGGGTAGAGTGGCGCGGCACTCCGAGTCGGCGTTGGGGGGGGCTGCTCCCCGCATCCCCACGTCTCGACGCAAGCAGGAGCCCCCGCGGCGGTTGCTCTGCAAGGGCCGTGACGTGTGGGGGGGGCAGCGAGAGAGCAGCGACTACCTCGTCGGCAGCGGCGCCGAACCGGCGGCGCAGCATTGCCAGCGTGCCTTCCCCGGCGTCAAAGAGGAGGCCACTCTCGCCGCCGCCGCCGCCGCCAACACCGCCGCCGTCTCCACCACCACCCCTGCCGTGACCACCGTCGCCGCCGCCGTGGCGGGCCGGCAGCTGGAGAAGGAACGAGCTCACGTTGCGGTACTTTGCCGGCATCGCCGCCCCAGTGCCGAAAAAGTGCAGCTGCGCGCGGCTCTGGAGCACCGCTGCGTCTCCCGCCCCCTCCGCCCCCTCCGCCGGCTCTCCTGCACCATCCGCCCCCTCCGCCGGCTCTCCCGCACCATCCGCCCCATCCGCCCCCGCCGCCCCCTCCATCTCCGCCTCCGCCTCGGCCGCCCCACCCTCGCCGCTCGCGCGTGCACCCTCCCCCGACGTGGCCTCGGAAGCCGCGGCGGGCAACGAACGCAACTGCGCCTGCCACGAACCTTGCGGCTCGAGCAGCGGCGGCGGCAGCGCGCGCAGCTGAGAGCGCAGCGCCTCGAGGGCGCCGACCTCGGAGCGGAGCTCGGCGGGGGAGAGGGAGACCTAAGACACGAGGCATCGCCGTCACGGCCCCGAAATGTGTGTCCGAGGAGGCGACACGGCACCGAAATGTGACCTGGCACCCGGCGGAGGTGACCCACCGCTGCAGCCGCGCCTCCTCCTCGCGGTGCACACCCGCCTGTTCACAGCCGTGCCGTGCTTCAGTCACAGCTCCTCGGCCTCTATGCCAATCAGCTGGACTCCGCCGGAATGGATACTCTCCCAAGCCTCTGGCGTCCTGCTCCAGGCCTCGTCCGTGCACGAAACCCCGCTCGAGCGGCCGCAGCACGTGGCGATCTCGGCTGATCTCGGCTAGTCCGGCCAGTCTCGGCTAGTCTCCGCCCGCTCGAGCGGCCGCAGCACGAGCCGCGTCAGCATCTCTCCCTCGTGCAAGTCGGCGCCTGGTCACAACTCGCCAGCTGACGGAGGAGAGGGTCGGCGTCTCCCCCTCGTGCAAGTCGGCGCCGCCGCTCTCTCTGCGCAGCTCCGACCGCTCGCCGCCGTCCCCGCCGTCGCAGGCGAGCCCTCGCGGCGGCGGGAAGACCTCCGAGTTGAGGGCGCCTAGAAAAGAAAGTGCGCACGCTGAAGAGGGGCGCGCAGCACACGAGCACAAGCGCACCTCCCGAGCCGAGGGCGCCCAGCTTCAGCTGCAGCCTCGCCGAAGCGACAAAGGCGAACCGCCGCGGCGGCGGGGAGCCGTGCAGTAGCAGTTGCCGCGCCGCCGCGGGCAGCGCGCCGCAAAAGGCGCGGTACGCTGCCGTGGCGGCGACCGCGGCGGGCGTGAGGTGGACGACGGCGGAGAGGGCGGCGAGGCGGTCTGCGGAGAGGAGAGGATGGCGGCGCAACTCGCAGAGCTGCGAGGGGGAGGCGACGTCGACGAGCAGCAGCTCCTCGCCGGCGGAACCGCCCCGCAGCACCTGCTCTGGCCTCACCTCGGAGCCGTCGGCTAGCGCCACGCACTGCCCTGCGCACAGCTTCCCTCGCAGCGGACCGCTGGGCACGCCAAGCGCCTTTGCTGCGGCCGCGTCGAACTTTGGCGGGACGGCCGGCATGCGAAGGAGCCAGCAGACGCAGACCGGCTCTCTGCTCAGGTCACCCAACTCCCCGAGCACTGACTCGGGCGGCTGAGTGCCGCCGCCGCCGCTCCCGCCGCCGCCGCTGCTCCCGCCGCCGCCGCCGCTCCCGCCGCCGCAGCCGCCGACTCCGACACCATTGCGCACACCGCCGCCCTCTTCCTCGCGAGGCCGCTTCTGACCCACGCCCTCGGCGGCGGTGCTGGCGATGCCGGCGGCGGCGGAAGTGGTGGTGGCGGCGGCGATAGGAGCGGCGGAGGCGGCAGAGGCGGCAGAGGCGGCAGAGGCGGCGGGAGCGGCGGCGGCGGCGGCGGCTCCGAGTACTGACGTCGATGCGCCGAGGACGATGGGAGTCGCCTCGATGCCGCTCTCGGCGAGCGCGGCGACGGACCCGTCCACCACCTCGCACACTCGCCGCGGCAGCGGCCCGGCACCCATGAAGTGCCGGAAGGATCGGACCAGGCTGCCGAGGCCTGCAGGCCCATGCACGGCAGCAGCGCCGCCGCGCCCCGCGTCTTGCAGCGTAAAGAGCATTCCGGGCAGGCCGCCCATCGTCTCCCAGGTCAGCCGGGTGAGCAGCACGTCGCGGAGGCGAGAGGCGACCTTGAGCCGGTGCTCGCCGCAGAAGCGCTGCGAGCCCTCGCCGATGTTGCAGAGCACGACCGAGGCCTGTGCGCCGTCGCAAAAGAGCAGCAGTCCCGCCGGGAGGTCCCACGACCCGGAGCCAAGCACCTGCACGTAGGCTGAGCTGATGTTCTTGCGTGCGCTCGGCATGGTCGGGAGGCTCGTCGGACGAGCCTGCAAGCGGGAAAAAGAAGTTGACGCCGGAGTTCCGCGCTCCCATCCCTTATTAAAATCCCTGTGTGGTGGCGGCGTGCCGTTCTCCCATCCCTCCCTTGGGGTGTCTGTTTTCTTTCTTTCTTTTTCCCATCCCTCGCTTTTTTCTTTCTTTCTGGCATCGACTTGTATCCGACTTGGTGGTTGTGGTGATGTAGCGATTCGGTGTGGGTCTCTAGTGACCTCCAGAGTTCCTCCGGTTGAGCCACATACAACGAAATGAGATGAATTCGAAGCCTCGCGCGTTACAGCCGAGACCAGAGATGGCGGTTCGTAGGCTCGACGTGCGGCGCGCACGTTCTCTCCTAAACACCTGCACCGACGAGGCGCTAAATCTGATCCTCGAAAGCGGGCCGCTCGACGGCGAGTCGCTGGAAGCCGACGCACGTCACCTCTTTGACATCATTTCGCTCCTTCTCGCACGAAGCGACCCCGCGGCGTGTCCAAAGTTGACGCGATGTGCTGCAGTGCTCGCCGGCGTGGAGCGTGCGTGGATTCTCTACCTGGAGCGACGCGAAGCTGACCTGGATGTCGTACAGCCGCAAGCACTTCGCGGCGTCAGCTTGGGTGCGGAGCCGGTGAGCAGACTTGCAACGCTCTCCCGCACGTGCTGATCTGAGGCAGTAACAGAACCTGAACCAACCCCTAGGTGTGCCTGCTGCAGTCGCTCGCCGCTGCCACATGCGACCATCTAACCAAAGACGTGGAGCTGCTGCACCAGCTGTCGAGCGACAGTGCGCTCACGATGTCGCTCGCTGATGGTCTACTCGATGCCTACATGCCTCGGCTCGTGAGAGAGGCCAAAGGCAACGCGGCCTCCATTTCCGCCAAAATTGGCTCCACCGGTGGAGACCCGCTGCGAACCTGTAGCAGGAGCAGCACCGTCGACTGGCCGTTGCCGTGGCTAGTCGCAAACGGGATTGCAAGCGCGGTCGACTCCGTGGCTGATTGCATTCGAACAATGCCGATCCTACCATCTCGCATGAAGGCGCGCTCCCTCTGGGAAGGCCTCGCAGCGGCCGAGCTGCTCGCCCCACACCTCTCGGCCTTGCAAACGGCGCTGCAGTCGCACGTGGGCCGGCTGGTGTCGCGAGCGCTGTCGGTCGAAGAGCGGCGGGACGTTGCATGTCTCAAGCAGACTCTGCCAGCAATGACGGCGACAGGCCGAGAGCCCATCTTGGGCTCGTGCGCAACGGTGCTCGCCTCTCTGCGGCTGCACGCTACCGACGCTCTCTTCACGCATCTGCCGGCACTCAATCAAACGTTGGCAGATTCGCTCTACGACGCGGTGGCTGCCCTTTCGGCGCACCTCATCGCCGTCTCATCAGATGTCATCTCGTCAAACCCGGACCGCCGCACCGCAACGCTCCCGACGCGCGTGCTGTGCGCCCTGCTCGCCTCGGCGCGGGGCATCTCGTGTTTCCTCGACAGCCTCGCCGACTCCCGCCCACAGATTGCGGCAGTGTCCTCGTTCCAGGCGTCGCGGAGCGAGATTGCTCGCACAGCAGAGGCGCTGCGCGGCGAGTTGTGCCAGACGCACGCGGGCTTGTGCGTGATGGGCGCACTCGCGGAAGGGCCGCAGGCACGCGAGGGAGTTTCCGCCAATCTCCTCCACATGGCTCTCCTCGTCAGTGGGGCTCGAGCCGAGCTCCGCCAACACGCACCCGGCGAGTGGCGGTCCATCCTCCTCTGTGTGTTGGGGCGAGCGTTGCTCTCCGTTATCGGAGCCCGGTGGGTGCACGGGCGGCGCGTGCGGCCGCTCGATCCGCAACGACAAAAGGCGGACCTCGTCTTTCTTCTCTGCGTGATCTCGGTCCACTGCCCCGCGGCGATCGAGCGCTTCGCGTCGCACGGCGACAGCCCTGACGCTGGTGCCGATGCTGCCGAAAGAGACGGACTCACGGGCGTCGGCCTGTGCCTGCTCTCGTTGCTGGCCCTCTGCGCGCCGGCAGGGCTGGTGGAGCAAGCCCGCGGCTGGCAAGCAGCGGCGGCGGCAGAGGTCGTGGCGGCAGGCTCGCACGAGGGTTGGCCCCTGCTCGCGCGGCGGGCGCTGCAAGACTGCCCCACCTCGCTCGCCGGTGCCGTGAGCAGCTTGACGGCGGTGGGAAGAGCCGATGCGAGCGCTGGCAGAAGCAGCCCGTCAAATCCGGAGGTTGACTTTGCGGCGCACGCGTGCCTCGCGGAACACGCGGTGAGGTGCGCTGTCGATTGGGATGCGTTGCTCCATTCGCTGCCCCCAGTTGGGACCGAGGCGTCTCTGCTCAACGCAGCTCGTCGGCAGCATCCGCCCGCAGAGGGGGGTGCGCTGTGATGGCCGTCTGCCGCCCTATCTCTCGTCGCAGTCTCTCGCCAATTCTCGCAGCGGCTTCACCTCCAGTCCGTGCCCGAAAAGGAATAAACAGCCCCGCTCCGATCGGCTTTCTTTTTTTCGCACGACATAAATAAATAGAGCAGTCACCTCCAGTAGAGATGGGCGACGCACGAACACAGTTTCGCACGAAAAGAAAGAAAGAAAACAGACACCCCAAGGGAGGGATGGGTGTCACTGGCCTCAGTTGTGGCATAAAATTCTTTTTCTTTGGGAAGGGGGTCGGCGAGATCCTCTGGGGGGCGGCGAACGTGCTGCAGAACAAGCTGACGCGGGCCCAGTACCTCGATGAGGTGACTTGGACCACAAAGAGCTGGCTGGGGCTGCAGAAGCAGCGCATCTCAGTCGTTCTTCACGCGGCCATCGCAGAGCAGGTTGTGAATGAGCTTGCCAGCGGCGAGGGCGGTCGAGTGCACGGAGCTAAGTGCCTCGCCGTCCTCGCGGGAGTCGCTTAGGCGGCTCCAGTGGTGTACCTGTGTTAGTGCCAGTGCGCGCCAGTCCCGTGCCCAGTGTTGTGCGAGCGTGCCCGTAAAATTCTTTTTCTCGCGATGTCTGCCCCGCCGCTCCGCTCGCGCTGCCTCCTCGCCACCACCGCCTCCACCGCCGCGCCCCCGCCAGACACGCCGCCGCCCGCCCACCTCCTCGACCTCCCCACGGAGCTCCTCGTGCGCGTCGTCTCTCGCTGCGAAAGCCCCGCCGACATCGCTCGCGTCGCGGCCATCTCGCTGCTCTTTTACTCCTCACTCGCGGTGGAGGGCATCCGCTTGTGGGCGCAAGAGCGCGGCTACGAGCTGTCGGCGCTGCCAGAGGGCGAGGGCTGCGCCGTGCGGTGGCTGTGCTATTCGGCGCTGCTGCGCGAGGCCAACCCGCGGGCGAGAGCTGCGGCAGGCTGGCAGCACAGCGTCTTCATCGACGGCGAGGGGCGGCTCTCGTCGTGCGGAAAGGCTGAGAGCTGGACGCCGGGACTGCTCGGGCACGGCGAGGGCGTGACGCGGCTCAACACGCCGACCCGCCTCCCCTCCCCGCTGGGCGGCGAGCGCGCCGTGAGCGTGTCGGCTGGAGAGAACCACAGCCTCGCCCTCACCGCTGACGGCAGCGTCTGGAGCTGGGGCTTTGGCGGCCTTGGCGAGCTGGGCCACGGCGACCAGCAGACCCAGCTGCTGCCGAAGAAGATCGAGGCCTTTGATGGCCAGCGCGTCGTCTCGGTGTCGGCAGGATCCCGCCACAGCCTCGCACTCTCCGCCGACGGCAGCGTCTGGAGCTGGGGCCATGGAGACTACGGCAAGCTGGGCCACGGCGACCAGCAGAGCCAGCTGCTGCCGAAGAAGCTTGAGGCCTTTGCTGGCCAGCGCGTCGTCGCTGTGTCGGCTGGACGCAGCCACAGCCTCGCCATCACCGCCGACGGCGCCGTCTGGAGCTGGGGCTGGGGAGCCTATGGCCAGCTGGGCCACGGCGACCAGCAGAGCCAGCTACTGCCCAAGAAGGTCGAGGCCTTTGCTGGCCAGCGCGTCGTCTCGGTGTCGGCAGGATCCCGCCACAGCCTCGCACTCTCCGCCGACGGCAGCGTCTGGAGCTGGGGCCATGGAGACTACGGCAAGCTGGGCCACGGCGACCAGCAGAGCCAGCTGCTGCCGAAGAAGATCGAGGCCTTTGCTGGTCAGCTCGTCGTCGCCATGTCGGCTGCAATCAACCACAGCCTCGCCATCACCGCCGACGGCGCCGTCTGGAGCTGGGGTGATGGAGCCTGGGGCCGGCTGGGCCACGGCGACCAGCAGACCCAGCTGCTGCCCAAGAAGATCGAGGACTTGGCTGGCCAGCGCGTCGTCGTTGTGTCGGCGGGAGGCGGCCACAGCATCGCCCGCACCGCCGACGGCGATGTGTTTACCTGGGGCGGGGGCGAACGCGGCTCCCTAGGACACGGAGAGGACCTGTCGAACCAGCTGTTGCCCAAGAAGATTGAGGGATGGCCGCCCAGCACGCCCGCATCCTCTTGACTTGGGTACGACTGAGCCGCATGTGGGCCCGTCCTCCGTGTTTGGAGGTGTGACAAACAAAAGGTGTGACTGACTGACTGTGACTGTTTTCACGTACGTTTAGCTTAATGGGAGGAAAGGGAGAACTTTGTATGATGTGAACTGGCACTAAGAGTGAATTTTCTGGCGTATGTAATCAGTGTGCGCGCAAGTCCGAAACGGCGCGGTTGCGGTTTCTTCATCCTGCCTTGCTTGCTTGCTGGCTCGTCTCTTATCAGATGTCTTTGTGGGCCGCCTGGAGAGCCGCGGAGGCAGCGCAGCTCCCCGACGGCCTGCGATTGCATCTCTCGAGCAGCACAAGCACGGGATTTCGCGGTGTCTACGAGAAGTCCGGTGGCCGCTTTGAGGCGGTCTACATTGGTGTCAATGGCGATGTCTACGTCGGAGTCTTTGAGACGGCTCTATCGGCAGCGGTGGCGTACGCCCGTGCCGTCGAGGCGGCGTCGGTAATTGCGGGAGGGGCGGCGGAGCCAATGGTTCAGGCACCGATGGCGGCGGAGGAGACGGCAACACCGATCGCACCAGCAGAACCGGCAGCGGCGGCGGGGGAGCGGCCACAAGTAGCTCCGGTGACGGAGGCGGAGGGGGTGCGGCTACACCTTTCGCCCCGCAACAGCACCGGCTACAGGGGCGTGTACCAAATTATTGGCGGATACAAAGCGGTCCTCGAGCTGTATGGACAGAAGGTCCTCCTCGGCCACTTCAACTCGAAAACGGGGGCGGCGGTGGCCTACGCGCGGGCGGTCGCGGAAGAGGATTTCCTGCCCTACGCCCGGCCGGTGAGAGAGGCGGCCGTGACGACGCGCATCTGGACCTTTCCGGCCGCCGGTTCCCTGTTTGGGCAGCCCACCGTACTGACGACGGTCTGCCGCCCGCGCATCGGCTATGGGCCTCCATCGCTGGTCGACGCGCTCCTCTGGGAGGGCGCCCACGCCGCCGGGTGGCGCATCCGAGACTACCTCGGGGCGTCGGCGTGGCTGTTTGTGAGCCCGCACGGCGAGACGTACCGCATGTCTGCGGCGCCCGATGCCGACCACGCAGCCGACGACGCGGTGGAGTTGAGCCTTTTGTCGGAGCTCTCGGTGGCGGAGGCGGCGGCGCCAGCGTTGGAGGCGGCGGATGCGGGGTCGGAAGCACTGACGGAGGCGGATGAGGAGAGCGGCGGCGACGAGGTCCCGAGCGTGATCCTCAAGCTGGCGGGTTTCGAGGCGTGGGCGGAGGCGCGTAAGCAAAGCTTGAAGTACACCTGCCGCTTTTGCGGCGCTGGGAAGCTGCAGCCTGCTACGAAGTGCCCCTGCTACGGTGGCTCTTTGCTCCCGACGGTGCGGAAGCTCGAGGCGACGGAGCTGACGTGGGACCAAGCGCTCGGCCAGTGCGTCCGCAACCCGCTCTGCGTGCGCGGATTCAAGCACATGGGCAAGGGAGGCAAGTGCCGCATCGTGCCCATGGAGGATCGAGTGAAGGGGGAGGCGGAGGCGGAGGGGCGCTCGGCGGAGGAGGAGAAGGCACCGGCGGAGGCGAAGGCGGTGGCGCTGGCACCCGACTGCCCTGCCGCCGTAGCCGCACTGGAAGGCGTTCGCGTCCCCCGGGAGGAGCAGCCGGCCAAGGGGGCGAAGCAATACTTCGAGGGCGGAGCCTTCGGGTGCGTGCTGCCTGCGAGCCACGCTGGGCCGCACGAGTACGCGCAGCCTGCCAAGCGCGCGCGAAAGAACTCGTGGCGGGCGGCTGAGCAGGAGGGGTGAGGCAGCTCGAGCCCCCGTCGGCGTGGCCGCCGCGAGGCGTGCTCCTGCTCGCCGAGCTCGGCCCGTACGTAAAGCACTGGCTACTGCTATCGGTATCGCCACGCTGTGAGATTGTCACATGGCAACTTTTAAAGCCGTACTGCTGTGCTCTCTCTGGTTCGCACTAACCCGTGACGAAAAACGAACACACACCAAGCGCTAAGCGTGAGGACACGAGTTCGGATTCGTAGGTGCACCTTAGCAAAATTGAGCCCGCTCAGGTGAGAAAAAAATGGGTTCGTGACCGCGGCGCGCCGGGGCATGGCGCGAGGCCAGGCTCGCTGCGACACGCGAGACACGCGTGTCCCTATGCCGGCGGCGGTGGCGGCGCGTATCCTCCGCGCCACCCTCGCAGCCCTGCCCTCTCTCGCGGCGAGGCAGGGCTCGCGAGGCGCAGCCGACTTCCTCCGGAGGCGCTACGCCTTCGTCCTCTCCTTCGTCTTCATGGGGCGGCAAGACACCTCGACCGGTCTCCGCTCCGCCGACCACGGGATCGATGAAGACAGCTCGGGCTTCATCTGGCTCCGCATCTCCGAGAAGATGCGGCGCGGCTGGGCGTTCCGGCGCATCGTGCGCCTCCCCCTCACCGCGATGTCCTATCACGGCCACGCCTCGCTCTTGCCCCAGCTCGGGGAGCTAGGCAGGGCCTACCTCGCCGCCCGGGCGGCGCTTGGGGCGGCGCCTGAGTGGCTCTTCCAGCTGCCCGGCGAGCGGCGGCCGCTGACGCGCCACATGGCGGGCTGGGTGAGCGAGACGCTCGACGAGGAGGGCGTGCGGGCTCCGGCCGGCTTCGTCTACCTCGGCCACTCGCTGCGCTCTGGCGGCTCGAGCGCCGCGGAGGCCATCCGAGTGCCCCGCTTTCGGGGCAACTGGCTCGGCGGCTGGTCTCAGAATGGCCGGACGCGCGAGCTCCACTACATGGACCCGTCGGTGCTGCCGTCGCCCGAGGCCTACGAGCTGCTCGGCTGGCTCCTGGACGGATCCTACCAGGCGCTTCCACCGTCGTGGGAGCGCCGCCGCGGCGCTGCTGACACAGCGGAGCCCGGCGAGCCGACGAGCTAGCTCCCTCGTCACACACGCGCACGGACGCGCACGGACGCATGGAGATCCGCGCGCGTGCACACACCACACACACACACACACACACACACACACACACACACACACACACACACACACCACTCCATACGCGAGCCCGCTCTCGCTCCGCCGCTCGTGCGCCCCGCGCGCATGTCGGCCTTCTCATGCCTCCGGCCTCCGAGCGCCCACCTCGGGCGCTCGGGCGGTTGGGGATGGCATATCGGTTCCCTGGGCGTTCACTAGCGCTCGCTTGTGGGTGAGAACGGCGTTCTCTGGGTAAGCTCAGCTGTGAACTTCCCAGTTGTTTGCTCTCCCTCCCTCCCTTACCCTGTTCATGACTTGCTAGCGGGACCTGAGTATTGTATAAGAATACTGTAAGGCATATCGGTTCCCTGGGCGTTCACTAGCGCTCGCTTGCATAAGGGTCAAGCAGGTTTTCGAACTGGCGACCTTCCGCTAGCGGAAAGGTATCCAGCAAGAAATCGCTGCGAGTGAGAGGGAGGTCGCTGTTCGAAACCTATATGCATACCGGGGGAATTAGACACCACAGATACGCACACACCGACGCCCGAAGTGCCAAGAAGGACGTCATTAGTACGAAACCTCAGAAGGCCATGGGCGCCGAGAGAACATTCCCCCGAGAGGACAAAAAGAAAGACTAACTCGAACCTCCTTCCCTGGTTCCCCCCGCCAAATGCCGCCGTTCTCGGGGCATGCTATGATATCCTGTGTAAGCAGGGCAGGTGGGGGAGGGGGGCAGTCCCTTTGACGTATGTATCTCTGGGTTCTGTCTCTGCGTCGGAGGCATCCAAGGCAGAAGATAAGAATATTCAATTTTTTCACTATGGTTCGCACACGGCACACTGACAGCTGTGTTGTTGCAATGTTAAAGTGAGTGGGACCCCGCGCTCCCCGGTCCCCGCGGCGCGCAGGCGCAGGTGGGAGGTTCAGGACGTCTATTCTTCTAAAGCAACGACTGCCAGCTGCCACAACAGGCGGGAGGCGCGAGGCGCCACGAGACGACGCCGACGTACAGAACACGCGCCCCCCTTTCACACGACTCACGAGACGAACGACGCGGACAGCACGCGCCCTTTCAGTTTTCTCCCTCCCGATTCCCCTCCCTCTCCCCTTGCCTGCTGCGTGCCGCGCCGCGAAGGCGCGAAACGACAGCAGGGCGCGAAAATGCGCGGTCAGGGCAGCGCGAACTCGAAGCGGGCGCCCTCCTTGACGCCGGGCGGCACGGCGACCCGGTACTGTCCGCGCGGCGTCTGGACCGTGATCAGGTCGCCCGGGCTCGCTCCCACGGGCACGGCCACGCTCAGATTGCTCACAGGGGTCGCAACCGGCACAGCAACCTTGGACGCGCGGACAGCCTGCTGCAGCGTCGCCGCGGCCTTGTGCGCCTCTGCTTGCGTCTGGGCGACGGCGTAGGAGCGCCGCCCGCCTTCCCCCTTCGGAGGGGGCGCGCCGACCGCCTCGCGGAGCGCCTGTGGCCCGCAGGAAGATTGGGGGCGGTGACCAGGTACCATTCGCAGCAGCGGGTGGCGTGGCTGGCTACGGTGGTGTGTGAGCAAACGTCTGTCTTTCTTGGGCCCGGGGTCGTGTTTTTGCATGTGAGCAACGATTGTGGTTTGTGGGGGTGAAGGAGGGCCGCAGGGCTGCCCGAGAGCTCGCGCGCGCGGGCGCGTGCGAAATTTTGAGACTGGCCGGTTTGGTCTCTACTCTGGTTGGGGGGGCGCGCCTCCCAGATGGTTTCCTTCTCGGCGGCGAGCTCCTGCTGCACCCCAGCGAGCTTGGCCGCCTGGAGAGCGCATCCAAGTGCTCTTGGAGGGTGACCCCTGTGGGCCAACGAAACGGCCATCCCTCGTGTCTCAACGCATGCGAGGCTGCGCGGGCTCGACGGGGCTGCGGCCGGGGGCGCCCGCGGGGGTTGCAGCGTCTGCAGTGTTGTGCTAAGGGGCGATCAGGGGAGCACGGTAGGCGAGCGTGGATGCGCGCCGCGGCGTTGCCGTCCCGCCGCAGCGCCTCGAGCAGCGCCCTGAGGAGGCCCTCCTGTGGCGTCCACAGACACGCAGCGGGGGCGAGGTCAGGCTGAGGTCGGGCTAAGGTCAGGCTGAGGTCGGGTGCTCGCGCGCTGTCTCCACGTGCGAGTGAGTGTGGGCAACGGCGGGCTACCCGAGATCCCTGCAACTCCACACCTCTCAGAACTGTGAGTCGTCGGGAAGGAGGGAAGGAGGTTCCCTAGGTGGAAGAGCGTGCGGGTGTGGCGTGCCCTCCTGCTGCGCGACGACAGCCTCGCACCGCTGGAGAGCGTCGAGGCCGTGCCGAATCTTCTGGCCCGCCCGCATACCTAGTCTCAGACATCGGATCCTCTCGAACAGCCTCTCGGCCAATGTATCGCGGATCTGTCCTCCCGGTCGGTTCATTAATTAATATGATGGCGAGGGCGCACGGGGAGGCGGCGCCAACTAACACTGAGGGGGCGCGCGGGGAGTGAATGGTGGGCACTGCGTGTGTTGGGCCCGCGCGCGCCCGCCATCGCGTCCATCAGGTCGCCGCCGAAGACCTCCATCATCGCGGACCCGAGCCCCATCTGCTCGCGGGTGATCGAGGGGTGGCCTCGGGTGGCCTCGGGTGACCTCGGCCGATCTCTGGGGGCCATCTTTTCTCGCCTGCTCGAGCGTCGGGATGTAGACGTCGCCGAGGCCTAACATCGGACAATCTCGGGTCCAGCTGGGGGGGGGAGGGGGGTGCTTCTGGCCGCTCGGACGCCGCCCCACGCCCTGGCACAGGCCCGGGTAGCGCTCGCGCGCCGGAGGGGGGACCTGGGCCTGTGCACGCCATACACACGCCAGAGTCAGCGCGCGAAAGGCGGTCTCGTCTCACTCTCGAGGTCTCGTCGCCGTGTGTGTACTCCGAGCATCGCGTGTGAAGCTCGCCGCTCTCACGCAGGCTACGAATGCAGCTCATCACACACCCGAGGACGGCTGAGGACGTGTCCTCTCGAGTGCTAGTCGGCAACCACGACGAGAGTTGAGATGCCGCATCTAAGCACCCGGTGGCCAGCGCGCTCGCCAGGATTTCGCCGCCGCGCTGTGCCTGCGCCTGCGCCTCCTGCATCAGGTTGTTGCGCCTAGAACGCAAGAAGGTTCCGCGAAGGTTCGGGGAACGCTCTCGGCCCGCATCGCCCGCGCGAAGTAGCAGCAGGGCTGTGTGCGCGCTTCATCTGCTGGATGTTCTCCATGAGCTGAGGCGGCAAGGGGGGGGGGGGGGGGGTGACGGCGAGGTGACGGTGGTGGGCGGCGATGGCGCCGCGGCGGGGTGCGGTGGGGGTTTGGTGGGGTTGCAGAGAAGCGAAGGCACCTCGAGCCCGCCGTTTCGGCCGCCTAGCACGTTGTTGAACTGGGCGCCCCGGTTGGTAGACTGGGCCGCATCGAGCGCTCGTATGGCGGCGAGGTAGGCCCCGCGCGCCGTCACGCACATCCGCCCCACGTTCTCCAGCGCCGCCGTGTTCGCCGCCTCGAAGTCGACGTTGGCGCGGCAGTCGGCCGCCGCCCGCTGCAGGTAGAGCATCTTTTCGGACGGGTGCGACTGGACGGCCGACTCGAACATGCTGGTAGAGGGAGGGCGGGCAGATACGGAGAGTCAGGAGAGGCAGGGAGAGAGAAAGAGACGGCGAATAGACCTGGACGATTCGCTGACAAGCGCCGCCTTGCGCGCCACCAGCTCCTCGGCCGTCCGCACCTCGGCTGTCAGCACCTCGAGCTTCTCCTCGAGCCGCCCCTCCGAATCGACCAGCGCGCCTGCCTTTCCCTCCTCGGCGTCGAGCTGCGCCTGAAGCCGCTCAACCTTGGCCTCGCCGCCACAGCAGGAGAAGAAGCAGGAGTTCTCAGCCTGTTCAATGCGCGACTTGAGCTTGGCAACCGCCTTCTCGTTGCCCTTCCGCGCGCCCTCGGCTCGCTTCTCTGCGGACGTGGCTTCGCTGAGCTTTCGCTTGGCGGCGGCGAGATCGGCCTCGGCTCCGGCGAGCGCCTTGACTTGAGCGATCCGATCGTCGTACGTGGCGAAGTAGGGCGCGTCCACCTCCTGGTTGTACGACATTTGTCCTTGAACGATATCGGTGTCGAAACACCGCTCTGACAGCTCACAGCTGCGTTGTCAGAAGGCAAAATGCGGCGGTTCCTCGTGATTGAGGGTTACTGATCAAGCGCCGTGCACACTTTTCGGCTAGATTTTTTCTTTCTACCGCATCGAATATGTCAAGAGCGGAGGCCAATTGATTCGCGAGGCTCTGGCAAAAGCGCATGCCGAGAAGTCGCTTGCCGTGCGGGAGCTCGTGCGCCTCTCCCTGCGCGTGCAGTCCACGGGCGTCGTCGTGGAGCTTCATCTCGACACGGCACTGGTTGCTCCGAGCGGCAGCGGAGCTGATCGCGAGCGACGAATTCGCCGGGGATGCCAGGCAACAGATGGGCGCGCAGAAAATTGGCGTGGCGTCCTAAACAACGCGACCGACGAGCATGCTCAACTGCTGCGCGACGCTCTCTGCGACCCCGACTTTTGTATGCGCTTTGCCATTCGCCGCCTTGGCTCAGGGGGCACAGTCCGCTTGCAGTGGCTCTTCCGCACGAATAGCGTTGTTGGCCGCACATCAACCTACCAGCGGCGTCCTACGAGGAGCGCAACTTGAGCAGCTATGATGAAGTGGTGCGGGACGTGATCTACTTGCGGAGCGGGGCTTCCTTCGAGCGCGAGGCGGAGGCTCCAGCCGCGCTGCACCTTGTGGTGCCGCCCGAGTTGGACAAGCGCTGCTATTGGGAGGGTACTGGATTCACAGGCGTGTATTGGCTGCAGCCCGGCCAGCCAGTGTACGGCCACCCCAGCTACCGACACAGCTGGGAAGCAGAACGTGATGGCAGCTCGCGAACGCGCCCATCTCTGGGTTCAAAAACTCGTGTCTTGGCAGGGCCGTGCTGGCCTGGACCATATGAAACTGACAGGGCGCCGTGGATCACGGTGAGGTTGACAGGGGCGCAAGCAGTTGGGCTGGGCCGGGCCACCCGTGTACCACCATGGACCGCCGGCTACCGGTTCGTGTACGGCTTTGAGGCTGTATATGCTGCCAAAACGATTGCCGTCCTGGTCCCTGGCACCATGGCTTGCGATGCGAGGCATTAACCGAGGAGGAGGCGCACACGCTGCTAGCTGAGCGCCAGCGTGCCACTCAGGATGCTGGCTCTGAGTCTTTATTGCGAGGACGGCATCGGCTCGACATCCCCGGGATGCTGGCTCAGGACGAGGCGCTCGCGAAGGCCAAAGCAGCCGATGCCGTCAGCTACGCGCGCCTTCCGCCCCCACCGCCTCCTCCTCCTCCGCCGCCGCCTCCGCTACCGCCGCCGATGCCATGGACCAACGAAAAGCGTGAGCAAGTGCTCTCATTTTCGGGGCCACAAATGCCGCATCCGGCACTGAGGCTAGCCGATCGCGTGTACGAGGTGTTCGAGCAGCACGGCAAGCCTGTCGATCACACCACCATTGCAGCAGTGCTAGGGGAGTCGCATCAATCTGCAGTCCGGTCTGCATTGACTATCGCTCGTGAGCGCTGGCGTGAACAACATCCTGACGCCATGCCGTCCTCGAAAGAGGCACTCGCTGCCGTGAAGGGGCTGATGCAGCAAAGGGGATCCATGTACTTCAGCAACAAGAACTACATTCACGAGGCGTTGCTGCCTCAGCTGCCGGGTCTCACTTTCAAGCAAGTGCGGCGAGCTGCGGCGCGCGTGCGCGATCCACAACGGGCTGTCACAACTTACGGGCAAGAGATCCCGGTGTGGGAAGCGTCGCAGCGTGCCTATGTCTTTCCTTCAACCGGCGAACATGTTGCAGGTGACCAGTGGTCAACTCCCACTAAAGGCCAAGCAGGCCGAACCATGCGGCATCATGTGGGCGGCTAAACGAACAAGCTAACCAAGCTCTCCTAAATAAAGCGTACACTGGCACTAGATGCGTCCTGGCATCGGGAGGGTCCGCCTAAGAGGAAGTACGTTCGTAAGAACTGATATATGTACTTTGTTTGTGCGTGGAGCGTCTTCCCCTTTTGCGCAGCAACACCTTAAACTTTAAGGCCCTCCAAATTCGGGTCGGAGCGTAGCGGAGTGGGCCCCGAGTTTGAAAAAGGCGACGGAAGCTTGCGTCCTAGCCTCCAACAACGCCTCCCCGGCGCAGAGGGCGCCCATGCGTTTATTTCTCAAATCACCGAGCGAGCCCGCCTCGCCCCGCCAAGCATGGACTCCCTTCTGTATCTCCAGGGCAATGACGACGATGACGACGATGACGAGGAGGAGGGCGAGGAGGAGATTGAGGCCGGCGTGGACGCAGCCGCGGCTGCGGGCTCGGGCGGAGCTGGGAGCAGCGCGCTCGACTTTGAGGCGGTGAAGCGCGCCGGCTACACCGGGTCGAACACGGCGCTGAGCGACACGGCGACGTCGAAGCGGCTCGACGAGGAGGCCAAGGAGCGGCGCGCCGCCAAGGAGGCGGCGGCAGCAGCCGATGCCGAGGCGGAGGAGGCACGTGCGGCTGCACTCGCGCAGGCATGCAGAGGACGCGTGGTCGCCCGCGTCCCTCTCGTTGCGGCAAGTCCTCCGCGTCGCAGCCACCGCGCCTTCACCGCGATTCTGGCCCGGGGCTTGCCACCTTGCGTACCACTCTGTGGCGTGCGGGCGGTCGTGCCCGCCTCAGCTGCCCCGTCCCAGCCCCCATTGATCGACCGAAACTGCGCAGTGTGCCCGCCCGTCCCTCCACGCAGGAGGAGCGGACACTCCTCGACCGCAAGCTGATTGACGAAAAGTACCCCAAGCAGAACCGCTTCAGCAAGACGGGCGAGGACTTTCGGAAGAAGGAGGTGCGCCGCCTCCGCCGCCTCCGCCGCCTCCGCCGCCACCAGCGCCGCCAACGCCAAGACCTCCGCCCCATCGCCCGCCGCCGCCACCGCCGCCGCCCGCCGCCCGCCGCCCGCCGCCCTCCCGCCCGCCCGCCGGCCTCCCCTCTCCTGGTGCTCACTCGCTGCCGCCGCACCGGCCCCCTCCGCTACCCGCAGGCGCGCAAGCGCAAGATGGGCCAGCAAAACTCGGGCGGCGACTGGGTGCGGGAGCCTCTTCCGAGACACTTCCGAGCGGCGGCCTTCCCGACACACCTCCGACACACACCTCCGTCACACACCTCCGAGCCTCTTCCGAGACACTTCCGAGGCGCCTCCCTCGCGGGCACTCGCCGCTTGCTCCTGCGCTCGCGCCGAAACTGTGCCGGTGGCGACAGTGGCAGCGGCGGCGAGTCTGCACCGTGCTGCCACCCGCCCGCCGCCGCGTCCGCCCGTGCCGCCACAGATCCGCCCCCGGCGCGTGCTGACGCGTCCGGGGCAAATGCTTGTGCGCAGGTGCAAGAGGAGAAGAGACGGATTCGGCACGCGGGGATGAACTGCGACAGTTGACGAGCCTGCTCTGGCAGTCGGGAGTGTGGAAGTGTGTCTGGGCGTCTGGGGGTGGATGGGCGAACATGGGGTCGTGGAGCGGTCACGTGTGGGAGTGCGTGAATGGCACGACCACTCTGGGGGAGGCGCACGTGTGGTGTAGATTACCCGTTGGCATGTTTGTTCTGCATTGCGCGCTCTCTCTCTCTTTGAATAGAGCCGTAGAGAGTGCAACGGCGATTTTGACTTTTGTGCAAAGAGAAGCAAGGCCCCAGTCGCCAGTGCACGCGCAGCACGCCAGCAGCAGGGCGCTCGCTCTAACTCTGTATACTCTTAAAGTTAAACTCTAGCTCGGGGGGGGGAGGTGCCCCCTGCGCCCCGCGTGTGAGAGGCGACTCGCAGGCCGGCATTTACGTGTAGAGCCGCGTAACGTACGGCTCTACGTCAGTACAGAGTAGTCATCAGCCTACGGGGCTCTCTCTCTATCATGTACAACATGTACATGTGCGCGCAGGAGATCTGCTCTTTCCCTGCGATGCTCTCTACCTAGTACTTCGAGTTCGACTCAAATGCGGGCCCTCCGTCGCTGCACCACATCGTTCTTCAGCCGCGTCACGCCCACTACGACATTGCCGATCGCCTTGCCTGACCAGGCCGGATCTCGCTCCTCCTCGCGAGCGCAGCCTGGCACGTCGACCGCGCCACTGCCGCCGTTCGGGCCTCGCCCGCCGAGCTGCTGGAGAAATTTGTGCACATCGCTCTGTAGCTGCTCGATATTGAGCTCGTGAGGGCTCGAGGCGGGATTGTGCATGGCCAAGCGTCGCTACGGGGGGGGGGGGGGGGGTTGTAACAATGTGGGTGGGCCTTTGGCTGGGGGCAGAGTTGAGTTGGCGGCGTTGCAGTTTTAGGCCTGGGGGCGCGTGGTGTAGCCCCCCGGGTGCAAAGTCACCTCGGCGAGGCGCCTGACGAGCGGGAAGAGCTGAACCTGCATGCGCATGGTGGCGACGCGGCCCATCTTGACCGAGTACCCGTTGAGCGCCGTCGCGCGCTTGTGCACGCGAGTGCTCAAGTTCTTGACGACGCGCTGCTGCACCTTCTCGTAGCTGCGCCGGAGGCGGTGGCCCCACTTCTCGGGCGGCAGCGGCACGAGATTGATGACAAAGGCGAGGCCGCGCCCAAGGAGGACGATGATGTTGAAGGGGGGCGGCGCACCGAGCGCATCCTTGTATTCGAGGACGACGAACGGCACTGTGACGCTGCCAGACGGTACTGTGGAGGGCCCCGAAGGTAGCGTGACGATGGCGGATGGGACCATCGCGCTGCCTGACGGAAGCATCCAATTCCCTGACGGGAGCATCCAGGGGCCCGACGGCACTATGACGCTGCCCAACGGTGCGATTCGGATGCCCGATGGCACGTGGGTGTGGCCAGAAGGGACTATTCGGCTGCCTGACGGCAGCTTCGAGCTGCCCAATGGCGACATCATGTGGGAAGATGGCCTGTTGCAGCTGCCCGACGGGACGCTCAAGATGCCAGACGACTGGCTCTCCCTGCCATCCGTCGAGGGCATGCTGCCGTCGCTCAACCTCGACGTGGGTGGCGTCAAGGGCTACTACTGCTGCTACTGCCCTGCGTGCGGCTCCTCATGCAGCGGCGTACCGTGCTGCAAGGCGGACACGGGGGGCGGCTCTTCGCTCGGCCCTGCCTCGGAGGAGGGCAAGAAGCTGCTTGTCTACTCGTCGCAGACGGCGAACGCGATGGAGCTGCTCGCGCGGATCGGCCCCAACGTCATCGGTGTGCCCTACCAGTTTGATTTCACGGGCTCGGTCGACTTGGTCGAGAAGATTGAGGACGCTGTGGACAAGCACGGGCCCTTCAGCAGCGTCGGCTTCATCCCTAGTGGGAAAGTGCTCGACGGCTACAGCCTCGCGTGGCAGCTCACCGAGGATGTCGTTCTGACAGATCCGACGGCTCTGGCATCGCAGGGACCCGTCTCATCTGTGCTGAAGGCGACCCTCGCCCTTGCTCTGGCCCTCCCCCCTGCCCTGGCCTGAGGGCCCTCACACTAGCACTGGCCCTGACAGCCCTCATAAGACACTGCCCTCAGCCTTGCGCATTGCCCTGACCCCATCCCCGTCCGGGCTGTTCTCAAGGCGCTCGGCGCGGGTGTGGAGGATGGTGGCCACCTCGACCTCTACGCCTGCGAGCTCCAAAAGTCGGCAGAGGGAATCAAGGCCATCAAGGCCATCAAGGCAGCCAGCGGCCCGAAGGTGAGGATCCTGTCTGACTGTCCGCCTGGGCTTGGCTAAAAGTCCACTGGCCCTGCGCCGGCAGCGCGGCGCACCATACTGCATCGTGGCACCAAGCCGTCATTCATCAGGCCACGAGCTCGAGCGACTCTGAACCGGTCGGAAATGGCGGCGCGGACCCGATATCACACCGGCGACAGTCAGTCGGCGTGTTTTCTGTGACTATTTTCGAGCGCCATACTTTGCGGAATCTAGGTTGGGTCTTGCATGGTGTGTGTTCTATGTTTTTTTTGGGCTTCTTAACCAAGCAACGCCAAAAAGAAGTCTCGGCTGATCTGCCTGTCACAGTGTGTCCGAACGCGCGCTGCGGGGTGGTTCCGAGTTTAGACTCTGTACATGCCCCCAGCCCCAGGTAGGCGCGCGCGAGGTCCCACCTGTTTGGATCTCTCTGTGGATTCTCTCCCAGACGCGCTGGCTGCGCATGCGCCACATGGTATGCGCACTGGTGGGCAGCGCAGGGGGGTCACGGTCGCTCTGCCCGTCCGGCGTGCACTAGATTGCACTGGTCCCGTTTCACCCACCCACCCACCCACCTTTCCCCCACATCTCGCGGCACCTAGCACCTCCACGGCCATCCCCCATCAACATCCCATGCCGATCGAACGTGGGCACCATGCCTCGCGCATCCCCCGCCCCTGACCCTCCGTCACTGCTGCCTACCCCCCGCCGCCGCCGCCGCCGCGCACCCAAAACGCCCTAGTAGCAGAAGGTGCCCGCCGCGGCGTCGCGCTCGAAACCGAAGAGCTCGACGGCGGCGTGCTCCGACTCGTCCTCATCGAGAGGCTTGGTGATGTCGGTGAGCGTGACCGCCGCGTGCACCCGCAGCGGAGGGACCACACCTCGAGGCAGCAACCGCTTTGCGGCTACGCGCGGTTGCCCCCCGTTGAGACCGAAGAGCAGCTGGTTCGCCTGGGAGTCGAGATGGCCCGAGATTACCCGAGGGTGCTCAAGAGTACCAGAGAGAGGCTGGCTCGCAGAGGGGTGGGGAGGAGGGGGGGGGAGGAGGGGTGGGGAAGAGGGGTGGGGAGGAGGGGTGGGGAGGAGGGGTGGGGTGAGGGGGTGGGGGGGGGGGGGGAG